CAATGCAATTCGTCTTCCCTGTCTAGTGAGATGAAGTGCATTTGTAAAGTGTTTTGGCTTATTAACAGTTAACTACGTGACAAAATGTCCACCCAGCTGAAAGGGACACCCCAGAAGTGCCTTTTTATGGTTAAAAATGAAATTTCTTGGTTTGTGTCAGACATAATTCCACTAACAAAAGACATGAGTTAATATTCATCTAACTGCAGCTTACTAGGGGAAAAAATAATTTCACTGTAATAGTGATAGTAATAATGTCTTCACAGTAGAAGTTCTCTTCTTAAAGAAGCAACCAATAATAAATGAATTGATGGCTAGAGTGAACGTTTTCAGTGAAAAAGTCCTTCACTCAGAAAAAGGTAAAAAAAAAAAATCTCTAAGAGTACTAAGAATTTAATTCCTCAATACAACAACTGAAAGGCAATTGTAGACCTTGACGGTGCTACTGTCCTTTGTGCCTCTCCAAGGTGCTGTACATGCCTCATGTAAAGAAAGTTAAATACGCTCTGCTTTTAAGTCTGATGAAGTACAGCCAGGCAAGGCAAGCTGAAGACTTGACATCTCAGAGTAGCAATTTCTTTTGATGCAGTTACCTTTAGAGAGGCTATTGTTTTCTCTAAGATGTGAGGGGAAACAGGTGAAATCATCCCATCAGTCAAGACCCCGGATAATAGTGCAGTTGTAATTCTGCATTAGTCTACTGGTATATTTGGAAAACATTAATCTGTCTAGGTGTAACGTGAAGTCTTTTCTAAAACTGCTTGGGAAATTTCCATGTAAGATAAGAATATGTTTATTTTCTTTTGCTGTTAATCTTTTGGTCTTCTCTCTGATTCCCCACTTCATCCTTTTCTAGCATGTACACAGATTCTTCCTGATGATCTAGAAACATCCCTTTAAAATATCAAGATGAGGTCTCGGTGACAGATAATGCATAAAAGCCAAAATGAATATACATGCACACAGTACTAAGTGGGGGGAGAAAATTTTAAGACGTAAATTATTAAATACACACCATCATGTTGCACTAGCTCTATTGCAGATTTGTTAGTTGCCTGAAGTCATAAACTGTAACAACAACCCCATGAGTATATGCAGGTCATTTGCTTCACATTCATACATTACACAGGGATTTGTTGACTTTACATGCCCACTCATTTAGGAGGAACTTGTCATGCTATTCTTGTTTTTATACAGGGGCTTTAACAAAATATTATGACACCAACACCACTAAAATGGGAATTAATAAGTAGTTATTTGCTGCAAAATTTCATCATGAGTTAGACTACTAGGTAAATCAAACAGAATATGCAGTTTGAAAAAAGTTGCCAATGTCTCAAAGAAAACTTTCTCCAAGAAAATATCACAGCCATGCACACCCACAGAGCAGGATTACCATTCTGAATTTAAAAAAAGGTGAAATCTAAGCTATCCACTGAATTTTAATTTTTTTTTCCCCAGCCTAAACAATTGACACTTTTCAGCCTAATGATCAGTAAGAGAAACAGAAAATTACAGGTTTGTTACACCTGGTCATCAGAATTCAGGAATATCCACTCTGGTGAGAGCCCACAGAGTACTGCCTCCAGCTTTGGGGTCCCCAGTACAAGACAGACATGGAGCTGTTGAAGTGAGTCCAGAGAAGGCCACAAAGATGATCAGGGGGCTGGAGCACCTCTGCTATGAGGACAAACTGAGAGAGTTGGGGTTGTTCAGTTGGGGAGAAGAGAAGGCTCCAGGGAAACCTTACAGCACCTTCCAGTCCCTAAAGGGGCTACAGAAAAGCCAGAGAGGGACTGGTTACAAGGGCATGGGGTGACAGGACAAGGGGAAATAGTCTTAAGATGAAGGAGGGGAGGATTTAGATTAGATATTAGGAAAAAAATTCTTTACTGTGAGGGTGGTGAGGCACTGGAACAGGTTGCCCAGAGAAGCTGTGGATGCCCCATCCCTGGAAACATTCAAGGTCAGGTTGGATGGAGCTGTGAGCAACCTGATCTAGTTGAAGATGCCCCTGCTTATCACAGGAGGGATTGGATTAAATGACCTTTCAAGTTCCCTTCCAGCCCAAACTATTCTATGATCTGTTAGAACTGGCAACTGTGTTAATGTGTATAAATAATTATTAGAAAACACAAAGAACGAATAAGAGTCTTATTTGACATATTATAAAGTATCTTTAAATTAATACATATAGTGATACCAGAATTTTTTGAAAATTCAGCAATTCTGTTACCTTGGCTCCCTAGAAATACACTGCTATTGGAATGCTGAATAGCTGGCAGAACTACCCACAAATG